GCCGTCGGTTTTGGTGTCATTGCTATCATTACGAGTTCCATTCAAGGTAATTTTTACCGTCAGTAAACTTCCTTGAAGGATTTCTGTTTTTACCAGTTCTTTGTTCCCAGATTCACAAGAGTTGTAACGTAAACACTGAACGTTGGGTTAGCTAAAGGCCTGCTACCATCCTCCATCGGTGTGAGGATGGAGAAAGTTTTCAGCGTGCTACTATAAACTTTCCACTTATTTTACAATGATGTGCCTCCTTTGCTGTATATCTACCAATTCTACCATTGGAAGTGCTTCCAATTCATTCATGGACCCATTTATGACGGTAGTGGGCCTAGACCTGCCCGCTCACAGAGCCCACGTTCCATCCTCACAGAATGTGTCTGGAATCTAATACTTCATCCTTTCGGTACTTCAAGAAGCCTGCTCGAAAAATGTGAATCAAACATGATAAGGTGAAATGATGAATGGACTGTCTTCCAGACTTGAACGATGCTCCACATCGTCGTCGAGTACCGAGAGCGATATCCCGTTGGGAAGAATGTGCTCGACGGACAAGCGGTAAGGAAAGACTATTGCTTGATTCCTTGAAACGAAAGTCATAGAATTATAGCAGCCGCGAACGAATCATCGGATCAGTTCCCACCGGATCTATTCACTTTGGAACAACGGCGACATGGAGCCATAATACTTCACCTGGGTGGCCTTGTCTATATGTTTGTCGCATTGGCCGTTGTATGCGATGAGTTCTTCGTGCCCAGCCTTTCAGTGCTCATCGAAGTGGTGAATTCGTTAATACATATTAACTTTCAATGAACATAGGATGAACATAGGCTCAAACAACACTCAACTCAGGATTTTAACTGATTTTCAAGAGTCTTTTGATTTTTATATCGATAATTAGAGCTCATGAGACTGTACGGGGCTTACTGTAATTCCTGTTCCTACTGTTTATTTGCACAGCTCAATGGATCCTCATAAATCTCAGAAGAAGAACCACACAGAACTTGGTCGACAGACAGCAGGTCACTCAGAAGCTAAATACTTCCTCAAAGGGGTAGCATCGGCCGTGGGTTGTTGCAGATACAGTAAGACAGCTCGTTACAGTGCTCCGGGCACTGCCTATCCTCCAATTACACAGTACCCATTAGCAATCGATATCATATTTTCAACTACTCTGTGAATTCTACTGCTGAGTAATCCTATCTTGATCCCATCACATCCCAGTTTAGTTACAAATTTCTGAAGACGTGGCAGGTGCGACGTTTATGGCAGCCGGTGGCTCGGCACCTGAATTCTTCACCTCTGTATTCGGCGTTTTTGTGGCACAAAATAACGTCGGCATTGGAACGATCGTTGGTTTGTTATTGATGTCTCTTTTTTATTACACTGAGCGTTGATTGAAGCAAATTCGAGAGTTAATTATGATAATAAAATCAGATTAAATCAAAATGTGCATATATTTTATTAGCTTGGCTTGTTTTCTTGAAACTTTTGAAAATCCTACTCTTCTAAGAGGACTTCGGGATTATCTAAATGAGCTTCTGCCGCAAATCAGAATAAGGGATCAGGAATGATGCGTTTTGACGTTGATCAATCCCGTATCCGGGATGCGCCCCATATTCAACTTTTACCCGGGGTTGTAGAGACCTTTTTGAATGCGCGTAAGCCTTTACAACCATCTCAGTGGCCAGTCGCTGTATAAGTCAGTGCTTTTGGACTCCAAGACGAGACTGTTGCCGACTCGTCAACTTCTAAAATAAGAAGAGTATGGTCTTGGATTCGATCCACGGCCTATGCGCATGGTTGAGGGCGCCACTTCTATCTGAAGATTTTCGTCATTTCATTTTTCTACCATTACTTCTGGTAACCAAATATTACCTAAGTAAATATATACTTACAGATATGAGTATTTTCTTTCAATCTATAAAATCTATATTTGGAGCAGATCGGAATACGTGCAATTCTGATTTCTGGCAAAAATAAAGAGCGGTAGTTGAATTCAGGCAGTGCAACGTTCAACATTCTTTGTGTACTGGCATTTTGTACATTATTTTCTCGCGAAATACTTCATCTCACCTGGTGGCCATTGTTCAGGTAAGTCATATGCTTGGAATCTCTTTGAAGACATATCGTACTTTCAATTTATTGTAAGTGATTGGACACTGCGAGCACTGCCAAAATGTTACTTCCAGCCATTTTCCAGAGATATGACTTTCTACATAATAGCACTATTTTTCCTGGTGATTTTCTTTGCCGACGAAAAAATTTCATGGCACGAAGCACTGACCATGTTTCTTGTCTATATTCTCTATGGAATGTTCATGAAATATAATAATCAGATAGAACGAAGGTTTAAGGCGCTACTGAAAGGTGGCCCACCAGTGACCGAGCAAACAAATGTGAGTTTTCTTTTCGAATTTTTTAGACTATTTTGGATATATAATAGAGAAGATTACTGATTTGGGAAGGAATGGGGCAAGAAGTCTCTAGTCTGCACATCTGATGCATTTGGTTCACCCTGAATTTTTTCCTAGTAACCAAGTACTCAATGGAGCTCTGGGG